TAGCCTGCAGCACAGTTACTATTACACCACGCGTCCATATTAGCATTGCCTGCCCATGAACCTGTTGCCTTACAAGGACCAGAGGGAGGTGGTGGTGGCGCTTGTGTAGGCGGTGGAGGTGGAGACTGCGTAGGGGGAGGGGGTGGTGCCTGCGTTGGGGGTGGTGGGGGTGGGGGTGGAGACTGCGTAGGAGGGGGAGGCGGAGGTGGACCTCCAGATGATGTAATGCTGATATCTACGCAGTTTACGAAGGTTTCTTGCGGTCCGTGTCCCATACCACAGCCSTCTTTGTCACATCCCCAGCTATTGCCGACCTTCCACCACCACTGCATGACGCAGTGTTTGCATGTTAGACCGCGAGGGAGCTGGAGACGAACTGTGAAAGTACCTGGAATRAAAAACAGCAAAACAAATGGATGAATGAGCAATAAAACGAATAAAAAAACACAATAATGAAAAAKAAAACAATATGAACAATCAAATGAATAAATATGGATGCATGGATTTGTGTCATGAGATTATGGGCTACYGCTATTACTAATGATTAATAATAGYCTAATAAATGATAATATTCTTGCAATCATTTTAYCAATGTATGATTTTACAGCTTTCTTACCGCTTTTACTGCCGTGCTTCCATCGTGTTCCACCGCTGGTCAATTTCAGTAGATGCGTGAGCTTGCTTTGCGTGATTGGAGGTCTTCCTATKTCACCCACCCTGAATTCAGACCATCCCTTGTGATTGGTTGTGATTCTCAGCTAAACAGTGCATGAATAACCAAATCAGAAGTCATAAAAACATAGAGACGGGGGGGGGGGGGGGGGGGGGGGGGGCTATAACCCCTGGGTTTCATGGAACAAAACTAAATCTACAGCATGCTATGATTCACTGTACCTTGACGTCAATTTGCTGCCCTTCTTTGTAAACTTTAGTAATCACTCCCTTGGCGTACCGTCCCGGATATACAAACGCGGGGTTCTTGAGATGATAGGCATCGCCACAAACACCACATTTACCRYYGTTTTTATYGTTCTGTGTGCTAAAACCTCCGCAATTCAGCTCATCCGGTGTCCAATGTACCGCAGTGCATTTTGGGTTGGTTCTGTARCAGACCTGACGCGCTGCAGGGTCYGACACAAATCCRTGTCCRCGWACAAGAGAAAAMATCGCWATCGAGTAGATTATCACACAGCTTGCTTTAWGTTCCATGGTTGAAGTGATAGTAAATATCTTAAGCGATAACTTTGTATYTTTACTTGCAAGTAGGTTATTTCAGCTGGCTTGCACAGCTTAAGGGTTTGACGACTTTGTTGAAATGTCGCGAATTATTACAATGGACTTACAATTCCTAACACATTCTTGTTGTATAGGGTATGGCCTCAGAGTTTCTTTGTTATGTTTTCACACTAGATGTTGATTTAGGTGCCACGTGTGGCTGCCAACTAGTCTACATGATTTCTTTTAGTGTTATGTAATAGTCTATCTTCTATTGCGTTCGGCTTGATGTATGGTTGTGTATAGATTTGTTTTTAAGTCTCCCTCGTATATTCATGTAGGTAGCAGGGAAGCAGGGACC